TAAATTGGGAGTCCTCACCGGAGCTGGTACAGCTAATCCGTGGAGGTCGAGAACTGCATCCAAAGGACACTCTGGGGAGCACTGCACTAAGGCACAGTACTACACCTCCGTATCGAGAACGTTATCTGTATCGGTAACCGGAGCCGCCTTGGGACCGTGATCCGAAAAATCACGTCACAGCTTATTAGTTCAGCTAGTTAACTGAATATTCATTAAATATATGATTATATTAGTCTACAAATATTGTATTATATTACATCGTACACATGCAATAAATTGGTACATGAATCAGCGAACGTTTCTTCTTCCCGAGAACCTACCTGTGACACACACCTATGTTACGCTGTTTCATGTTTTAATAGCATAAATAATATTCAGACGGATAAAGAAGGCATTACGGAAAATTACCAAAAACAGAAATGCGCACTTATTAATCTCGGGCATAAAATGATGAGCATATAAAAATGAACTAATTTTAACTATAGAGAGATGAAACAAATAATGTATCTGGTTAGAGAGTTTTTTTTCATTTAATTTTTATGATTCACGGTTATGTAAAGGTTTATGATTTTCAGTAAACGATATAAATACATACGACTCCTCCGTGAAAACAACTGCCCTCAGTAGCTTATCTCTTCATCCAATGATGAACTAGACTGAAAAGGAAAATCATTTTCTATTAACTCACAATATTCTCTCTCGCAATATTCTTCATAGTAATTAAATAAACATGAGACGTGTTACGTCTTGTTTCCTTATAACTATTGAAGAACTACTTACCATGATGCTGCTGCCTGTACGACTGTGAACGACCTGACGCTGCAGGCTCCAATGTGTATTGCTAGTCGCGTGATAGTTAGCAACATTGTTGCAGACGCCCGCTCAGATTCGATTCGTCAGATTCCTAGACTGTCGTGTTGAAGTCGCCAGTACGTGATCTCAATAGACCGATATACTATTCTTCCCAATTGTCCTTTTCTCAATTTCTCTTACTTATAGATATTTACACGCGTCATGTGTGTGTGAAATATAATGTAAAATAATTGTCGTAATCATCTTCAATGAAGAAACTTTATATTTGAGTGCAGAACTCATATTATTAAGATTTTCTAATCGAAACCTTTTGAAATCCTATTGTTATTCGTTTATACTTTAATTACTGAAATAGATCGTTTGTGTAATGTTGATATCGCTGATCGTAGTATAGGCCTAGTGGGGACCTGCTACGTTAAATAATGGGAACGCATCAACTGCGGCACCTCTTGGGTGATGTGGAAGCCCGCAGGTTGTCGTTGTTTATGCCTTTATTGTAATAAGATAAATAAATTAATTGGATATACGCTTTAATCTGTTAATCCCATTTGCAAAAGCACATTTTTTTTTGTAAAAAAAAATGCTCTCCGTAGAGGGGTCTAGAACCATAGACCTCCCGATTCGTAACCGAGTGTACTAGCCAGACGCCAGAAACATCTGTTTGTTTTACTTTTTTCGGAAGTTGTATTTCTAGAATTTCATCTTTTATTCAACTGCTTACTATTGTCGTTTCGTTTACTTTACATATAAGCAGAATGATATGAAGATGCACACCAGTTAAGAACTTTCACGCCACCCTACTCCACGTGGACGAACAATTACCGACAGAGATAATGCTCATTTCCATATTTGCTTCTCAAGATTATTGATTCCAGGTAATGAAGTGAGCTAATTATTTTCTCATAGTAAATCTTATCGAGATTACACTGGGCGCTGGAACTGAAGATTGCAAATAAAAAAATATTTAGGCAATATCTGATGAGCGGCTTCGTTCGAAGGGTTCCTTTGAGAACCGCGGCAGCATTAACAGCAACAGCAGACCTCTCAGCGAGAGAGGACGCGCAACCGCTCAACTCGCTGGTCGTGAGGCACGAGCGGGCATTTAAAATATTAGTCGATTCTGTCATAGATAAAATGTTTAAAAAGTAGTGTTGAAATAACGGAATACATGAATGAGGTTTTATTTTTCTGCTGACAATATTAATAAATTAAAATTGTAAGAAAAAAACGCCATAACGGCGTTTTGTGTGCCGGGTCGCAATTTAAACAGTACGGGTTCGATCCCGATGACCTTTTTTTAACAATATTTTATAGAAACTTAAAATAAAGTTTGGGCCACCTAGAAAGATTCAAGAGAGGAACCTTGAACAATTTTTGTAGTAAAATGAAAAAAAAAAGATGAAAAAAGAGTTCTTCATGGGGGATCGAACCCGTAACCAGCAGCGTTGTCTCTTGACAGGTATTGACTCAGCCACGATGCTCGTCTAAATTAAATTCTCTGTAGATATTTATCTAAGATATTTCAAAATTTCTCTTTGAACTGTTCTCGGTCGTTTCATTTACCAACGAATTTCATCATTCATTTTTTAATGTTCATTTTCGGCATAATAAGAGGTAAAGAGTGAAAACCAATATTTCTATGCATTTTTTATAACTTTGAAATTTATTTGAATATACACATTTGTTTGCGCATTACGTCCATACAAATGTTTAGGGTTCGGTTGGACGGAAGACCTTGCTGCCCCGTCTGTTTGTCAAGAACGGTTTGTGAGGGGTGGGAACTTTTACCCCACCACCGAGCAATCCATTCGTTTTCGCTGACTGCAATATCGGCTGGAACGATGATCATGATCCGCGCAGCTACGCGAATTCGTAACATCGACATAGGCGATGATCTCGAAATCCTACTCCCGGACTCGCCGCTACGATTTAGCGCCATGCTTTTGGTATCGCCTAAGGGCTCATTCGGATCGAAAGCAGCGGGAAGCGGGAAGCGAGCAGCGGAATCTTGGCCGCGAAACTACATTTTCTGCCTTTTTATATTAGGTAACCGTATGAAAGCATTAAGAAATAAGTTATTTGCCTTAATTACGTATATAGAGTCAAGTATACTACATTGAAAATAATAATACATAATTTTTTTTAAAACATGACTTCATTACTAAGCAGATTCCAATGCTTGGACTGCGATTTTGGAAAGTTGATCAACGTTCAACTTTCCGTAACAGTCACCGATGTACAACCGGGAACAACACATCTAAAAGAGGAAATGTCTTTCTTCAAAGGAGACGCACAGGGACTTGTTTACACAACAAACTTATTTTTTTCCAAGATGGCGACTGCGCATACGCACGTTACCGCTGCGCCATCTTATGGGTAGGTCGTATAAGCGTTGAGTGTAGATAGGTTGGTATATGTTCTCTATGCTTTACTATAGCCCATTTGGAGAGTCTCCCCCTGGTATAGCCTCGTTGTATGTTACATGCATGTAGTCTCCTTTGTTACAATTTAACATCACGACCAATCACAATATGCCTATGCGTATGTACGTTGGAAAGAGGTACCACTCTATTCTAAAGTTTCAATGAGCCCTTAAGGCTCATTTAAACCGAAAGGAGCGTGAACCGAGAAGCGAGCAGCAAGCAGCTTGAAACTTTAGAATAGAGTGGTACCTCTTTCCAACGTACATACGCATAGGCATATTGTGATTGGTCGTGATGTTAAATTGTAACAAAGGAGACTACATGCATGTAACATACAACGAGGCTATACCAGGGGGAGACTCTCCAAATGGGCTATAGTAAAGCATAGAGAACATATACCAACCTATCTACACTCAACGCTTATACGACCTACCCATAAGATGGCGCAGCGGTAACGTGCGTATGCGCAGTCGCCATCTTGGAAAAAAATAAGTTTGTTGTGTAAACAAGTCCCTGTGCGTCTCCTTTGAAGAAAGACATTTCCTCTTTTAGATGTGTTGTTCCCGGTTGTACATCGGTGTGCCTATAAGGGATCACATTGCTTCGCAAAAGACTTGGAGCTTTCGAAGGCCTGGTTAGAGGCAGTGTGCAACTCCATGCTTAGGCACATCGATTCATAGCTTTTAAATAAAAATTATCATTTGTGTAAATTACATTTTTCCTTGAAAGTCTATATACCTCGTACTGCGAAGGTAAGACTAAGGAAAAATGTAGTATCATCATTGCGTCTGCTAATGATTTTAATGTAAATGTTACTATAAGTGCGACTGTAGTAACAGATCGTATCTTTATTCAATAAATAACTTTTTATACCATACATAATTATGCATTTATTTTATTTCAGGTACTTGCAATTATGGTAAAATGAGACCCAATCATTTGACCATATTAATTGTGCATATTTTCTTTTACACCACATATTAACGTTTTAGGATATTTTACGAGGGTCATACTTGTTTTTCATAATTGCAGGTGCTTTTAAAAATACCTTATAAAACTTTCAGGGCGATGCGTATAGAACGGTGAGTAAAATGCACGTGTATATCTATATATACATGTGTACGCCTATATATATCCCCGTATATCTATATATATTGGGATATACCTATATATATCGCGTTACTTATACGACCTACCGATAAGGTGGCGCTGCTGCTCGTGCTAACAGTCTATAGCACGTGAGTGCCGTGTCTCCAATAAGTGGTCTGTGGGCTACACCACGGGCTATACACATTTCGTCTGATGCCGAATTCAAAATTTATTTCAAACATGAATTATGACGTGCAGTAGGGTTGCCATCATCTTTTTGCTATGTCGCTGCTACGGAAAGTTGAACGTTGATCAACTTTCCAAAATCGCAGTCCAAGCATTGGAATCTGCTTAGTAATGAAGTCATGTTTTAAGAAAAATTATGTATTACTATTTTCAATGTAGTATACTTGACTCTATATACGTAATTAAGGTAAATAACTTATTTCTTAATGCTTTCATACGACTACCTAATATAAAAAGACAAAAAATGTAGTTTCGTGGCCAAGATTCCGCTGCTCGCTTCCCGCTTCCCGCTGCTTTCGGTCTGAATGAGCCCTAAAACCGTAGTGTTGTGCATCTCCCCACTCCTCTCTGGTATAAGTTCTATGATTGCTCACCGTCATATTTCAAGTTTTGTGCTATAATAACTCAAGCTTTATAACAAAAATGTGTGAGCTTTTACAGACATAAATAATATTTTTTCAATCAGGTGCACAAAATTAATTATTTTTTTTTAATATCATATATTTTCTGCATAAAAAGTGTAAAAACTTGCAAGTTTGTAATATTATTCAAAATGGCGGCTAGAGTAATGTAATTCATCGAATGAATTGCAGATGGCAGTGAAAATGCAAGTAAAATTGAGAAAAGGACGCTCAGTGCAGATTGCCGTTCAAGAAAATCCTCTGGTTATTCATCGTAGAAAAGGTAAAGATTCTCGGTACTGTGTCGTTCCTGTCTGTTGTCTGGACGCAAATGGCGTTGGTACTACGGCCTCCTGGGTGCTTCGGCTCGCTGCCAATCGTACGAGGTTGAAAAACGAAAATTTCAAGTCAGTGTTGGCAACTTTTTATATATTAAACGGCGACTACGACCCGATGCATTTATGCTATGGATTGCGCTCGCTAAATATTTATATTTGATTTGCAATTGCCGTACACACATTTTTAGTGTTATTCACTTTCAACGGTTATACTTACTACTCAATCGAGACATTTTTCAGGATGTTATAAAGCACAACATTGTTCATAATTGACTTTTAACTTTACGAGTACTCCCTGCTAATGTTATGCGTGATTTTCGCTTAAATTTATCATAGGCTCATTAATTTGTATTTATTTGTAGATTAAAATTACCATCACTTTTACATTTTTGTTATGTAAGGAGGAATCATCTTATGATGTGCTGTAGCTTGGTTTTCAAAAAATAAATTGATTCCAATGCAATTTCTCTTTATGATAATATGTTCTTCATTAACTTATTGTCCATTTCCATTTTTTTTTGTATAGGGATAATAGTTTAATTTAGTACTAATGTTTCTGTATTTTTAATTATATTAGGAATTATGTGGTTAACACCACTGATAGCAAGTCAAAGCATATCAATGCTATATGATATTATCAGAAAAACTATTTTGCTGATTATCATTTTTGTAACTTATGAGTTGCAATAAAAATATATGCTCTTTCTTTTAGAACACTGCAAAGATGACAGCTGATTCTGACAAGGATTGTACACACTGTTTGATATGTAATAGTAAAGTTGGTGTTTCCACTAGGAACAGTGTTAGAATCTTTAGTGGGAATTCAGTGACAGCATCAGAGAAGCCCCTTGTTGATACGATATGTTCTGTTTTGGAATTGGAGTTAACTGAACAGAATACACACTCTCTAGTTATTTGTAAAAAATGCTATAAATTATTTAATGAGGTAACATTATAATAGTAATATTAGAGAACAGGCAATGATATTTCTCTTTGAGTACAAAATAGAATGCAACCTTTTTATTTTAGGTGGATGAATTAGAGACAAGATTGTCAGAAATAAGGCTTGAAATATTTACTAATTATAAAAGAACTATAGCAAAAATTTCTGGTGTTCCTCAAGGTGATGACGAATGTAACGATCATGACTATGTTGACAACTCCGAATTGCAAAATACAGGTGATCCTACTGTAAAGTTTAGTCAGAAATTGAAGAAGAAGATTGTGGAAGTTAAAACCCCGTTGAGCCCTGAAAATGTTTTGCTGGTATGTTAACTATATTGATATTATTTCCTGATGATATTTCACCTGCATTATATTTACATATCTTACATTGTAGGAAGAGAAAGAAGATCGCGAAGAGCAAGAGGAAGAAGAAGTACTAGAACAGGTCGAAGAACCAGAACAAATCATTATAAAAGTCGAAGCTTTATTAGATCAAAAAGATCCTGATGATAAATCAGAATTTAGAAAGAGTAAAATAAACATTAAGCAAGACAACATGCAAGATCAGGTTTATTGTTATTATTTGAACTATAGAATATGTGTTATTATGCATTTGTTATCTAATTAAATGTTCATCATTTAGCAATTGGTTTTAAGAAATGACAACGAGTATACTTGTCTTTTATGCCCGGACGAGGAAAAATTCACTGGCGATCCAAAGATGATAATTAGCCATCTGAAAACTATTCATGACGCTCGCCTTTACATTTGTGACATTTGCGGTATGGTCTTTCGTAAACGGAACAAACTCTCTGTTCATCTGGATGATCATGTAGCCAAGGAGGAAGGTGATTTCCAGTGCGAGATATGCAATAGGATATTTAGTAACTTACGACTGTTTAGAATTCACAAGCGTATCCACTATCCACAAGCCAAATCCTGGCCCTGCGAGACCTGCGGCAAGAGATACAGGTGTGATATAGAAAATTTATATAGTACATTTCATTGAGTCCATCATACATACATTTTTTTTTTAAAGCTCGCGAAATTTATTGGAGGAACATATTAATACACATACTGGGGTGCGACCGTACGTGTGTGAAACATGCGGTAAAGATTTCGCATCTAAGTATACGTATAAGGCGCACATAAAGACGCATGAAATTCGGCCAAGGCCTTTTGAATGTACTCAATGCAATAAGACATTTCTGAGCCAGCAAAATCTTAATCAGCATGAAAGGACGCATAATGGCGTCAAGGAATATATATGTCATCAATGTGGTAAGTTACTCGTGCAATATTTAATTGGTTACAAAATACGTTTTTAAATTAATCGATGCACATATGTAACTGTATAGGCAAAGCATTTGGTTCACCACACAATTTGGAAGTACATAATATTGTGCACACTGGCTACAAACCCTACATATGCAGAATGTGTGGTAAGGCTTTCGCGAGAAAAGCCGAAATAAGAGATCATGAAAGAACTCATACTGGCGAAAAACCGTACCAATGTGAATTTTGTGGAGCGACATTTAGGTATGCTTAGAAGTTTTTTAATTTAATAATAAGTAACCCACGAAAGAGTAATGCTGATCTTTCCTGTTACAGCCAAAGGTCGAATTTGCAGTCACACAAACGAGCAACGCACTACAATGACAAGAGATACAAGTGCAATGACTGCGGAAAGGGTTTTAAAAGACGTAGACTTCTGGACTATCACATAAAGGCTGCACACACTGGTGAAAGACCCTTTAAATGTGAAACGTGTACTGCTACTTTTGTATATCCAGAACATTTTAAGAAACACATGAGAATTCACACAGGAGAGAAACCATATCTCTGCGAGGTAAGTATAATTATGTGATAATGTGTATTGAATGTTTTTGAAATACATATATCATTTACTTATAGGTCTGCGGTAAAGCTTTTAATAGCAGAGATAACAGAAACGCTCATCGTTTTATACATAGTGACAAAAAACCGTACGAATGTTTAGTTTGTGGTATGGGATTCATGAGAAAACCATTATTGTATGCACATATGCAAACGCAGGTGATTAAACATTTTTCGGTTTTTTAATCACCGTTTATTTGTTCAGTATTTAAAAACATTTCAATTTCTCAGGGACACTTGAACGATACTATCGTCGTTAATCAACCTAGATTAACTACAGAAGATGATCAATTGATAGCCATTCCTGATGAAGATGTAGAACTTTTAATGGAGGGCGCAGATAACGAGCAGGTAACATACAATAAAAAGTATAAACTGTAAAAAATATAATAGCCATAAACATCATTAGCACTTATTTCAATCTAAAAAATTAATTGCTTTTTATTTTTTTCAGGTGGAAGAAACCGAACTTTATATAGCGGAATTGAAGGATCATGTTATCATTCAACAGGGCGAGGAACAGATGTATCATGAAGAAAATGTTCTAAGTATTCCTGCCGAAGACGCAATCGGTGAAGATGGCGTAGAGCATCTTGTCGTAGACGGTCAGGTAAGATAGTTGAAAAATGCCAATTGACGTTTGATATACAGTGGGACTTTATAACTCGAATTTCTATAAGTTAGAAACCTCTATAAGACTGTGAATTCTCGATTTTGCTAATGCTTCACTTCTATAACTTGAACACCCCGATAGGCCAAAACTATGATAACTCGAAGCATATTTCGTTTCCCTTGCGATACGAGTTATGGAAGTATGTCTGTAACTAGGAATATGTGCATATATTTTTGATTGTTAGATAATACAAAAAAATACAATTTTGGTTTTTCTTTTTGTTGGCAATGGTTTAGATCAATTTTACTGCAACCGAAGTAATGGAATGTAAAACAGAAGGTTCTGAACAAGTTGAGGAAGTTTATGGGTATAATGAGAGCGAGGATGGGGAAACGATAGTTGTGCCAGCATCTTCAGAGTACAAGGAAATCGTTGCAGATTCCAAAGGTGCGGTTCGTCTAGTTCAAATAAGAATCCCCTCATCGGCAAATGGGGAAGGTCGCAGTTGGTTGAACATAGTACAAAATACATGAGAAGGGATAAGGAAGGGACTCATTGGGATATAAAAGCAGAGCTTGTTAAGGCGACATGATTCAACAAATGCTGATAGAGCAAATTTCAGGATAACTTTGCAAGCCTAACTTACACTTGTTTTATTTTTTAAAGTGATTAAGATAGATTTATATTCAGATGATAATTTTAGGTAGTATCCAGATGTAGTATATATACGGTTCGATTAAATCTTAAAACCGAATTTTGCATTTCTTCATGTTCATCTACCATTTCACTGGCTGCGGACCAAATTACTTTGAGTATTATTGTTATAGATTCGTTAAGTTCATGTTCGCACTTTGTCATTAGCATTTATGGGAACATAACATGAGAACTTATCATTTTTTTTATAATGGACCAGTTGGAGGTAAAGAAGTAACCAATTACATTTCACAAAAAAAAACCGTCTCATTTACTTTCCTTTTTAATAAATATACTTAAAAAAAGAATCCATTGTGTAATTTTATAATTTCGCTACCTGTAATTGCACTTAATGGTCAGAAACCAGACTGTACCACACCGTTGAAATGAAATTTCCCTAATGGATATTTTTCTGCAATGTCGATTCATCGGAAATACAATATTTTGTTATGCCGGTGCATATCTCAATAAATGCTTAATGTATATTCAATTGCATTTTATTTTCGATGCATCGGTATTTCAGGAGAATAACTATACGAAATTTAATTTCAGTGGTATGGTACATTGGGGTTTCTGACCCATTAGATGAAATTACGAATACTTACAATTTATCATAGTTACACCTATTTCTGATACTATGTAGTTTAATATATTATCCAAGAGATGGCACAGTATTTGATTACTATTATATTAATTAATAAACTTTACTCGTACTAAACATTAATTTCCCTATTTGCCTAGTCCTCATTAAAGTATAATATAAACTGTAAGCATTTACATGGTAAATTTGAGCTGAAATATGTTGTCACAATTTAAATATATAGATTACTTCTAAAGTTTTCAAACCTTAAAATTAGAGTATTAATAATTATTTTTCAAATAAATATAAAATGTTGAAGGTATTAATTACCAGCTATTGAAATTAACCATTGACACGCTGTATCTTATGAAAATTCAAAAATCTTGGACAACAATAATTCTAGATTAATTTAACAGTAATAGGACCACCCACTAGTAAGTAAATTATTTCACAATGATAACTCGCCGTTACCGTGCGAACACAGCAAGGTTACCTGTGGGTACCTGGTAACAGGAATCCATCCTGGGGTCAGAAAAAGGATTAACACAAGGCAAGAACGAGGAAAAGATGGCGAACTGCTGTAGTGAATCAGCGGTAGACGATGCACGCCCCAAACTCTCACGACCAGCCTCCTCTGTTTCTTAGAATTTCACCAGGAGACGAGCCAATCGGACAGTGAGATTTAGCTCCATTCAAGCAGCATGTCTTGCGGCCGTGACGCGTAGTACAAGTAACGCACGACAAGGAAGAGGCTCAGTATTAAATTAATATTAGAAGAAGTGTTCACCAGGATGTGGTCCATCTTTACGCGTTGCCTAGAAGCACATTATAACCTTGCGTATTAAGCATAACACTTAAACATCGCATACCGTTTCCTGGAAGCGATTGATCTACTCATCGCTGCTCCGGTTCGTCGACAGTGTCTGACAATATTGGCAGATTTTTCCTTCTTGCTTCTTGATGTATAAGACCCTCTTCGCTTCCCAAGAAACTTTGAATGGTGGATGACGAATGCCGAGGATTACCAGGAAGCAAGGAAGTGACTCGTACTCGCCGGTATAGTCATTTTAATCAAATGATCTGACCATTCAGAAATCTTCGGATGTCTCTGAATCATCTCTTCTACCAGAAGGAAGTGGAGGACAGTGTTTCGGTGGAGGAGGAACAGGATGACCGGGATAATAATCACGTACACTGTAAATTCCAAAGTCTTGCCAGTCTGGTGGACGATGGTTGCTGCGTTGGGACCTCGAAGGGAAGTTGGCCAGTTTCTGATAAAGATAAAGTAATAAAAAGCGACATAACGAGAAGTTATCCTTCCGATTTTCGTGGTGATCAGTGCACTCTTCGTCGTAAAGACCTGTCTGGACATGAAGAAGATAGTAACGGAAATGGAGATTGTGCAAATTGTACATCCCCGGTGTCGAGTGTGGAAACTGGCGATGTCGAGGAGCAAATTGATAATGAACGGATTATGGTTCCATCAGGTAAATTTCTTTGAATTTTTAATATTTCTTTCAATATATTTAGTATAACCAAGATAACCGTTCGTATAAATGAAGGTCGTTGTAAAAGAGGTCCAGTATCGCGACGGTTACACTTAAATAATTTCTCAGAATAGAACAATCATTTCTATACGCATACACTGATAGAACACATAATTTACATATAGTATAAGTGAAGTATAAATAACACAAAATATCGATCTAATATTTTTGCTTAATTGAATAAAAAAAATGTGCTGCAATAAATAGATACATAAATCTTATCACATTAATGGACGTATACAGATCCTTCAGAATGGACTGCGAATCACGTAGCCTCGTGGGTGACATTCTGCTGTCGTGCCTTCTCTATAAAACCGGTGCCATCCTCTTCCTCGCTGCCCTCTAGCGGTAAGGAACTCCTGAACTTGCCGGCTGACACTTGGCAACGAATAACTGGTGGTCGCGTCTTGGCTCGTCACCTTGGATATCTTCGTCTTCAGGCGACTGGTATTTACAGTCCTGAACTCTTGCGAGAAGAGAACATTGATGCTGATGAGGAGGATGAGATGAAAGGTCAGTATTGTATGTATATAATTGCAACTACATATGCATATGAATTAGCATGCGGTAAAACCTATATTAGAGGAGGGTGGAGTTAGACGGGCCTGGCGAGGCAAAATGTGCACCTACAAAATCAGTCAGGGTGCCTAGGTAACAAAAAATATATAGGGTGGGCGGAAATCATGGTACAACCGAAAGGAAGGTGATTCCTCATGGAAAGGTAAATTAGAAATCGCAGAATACATTTTTTCTTTACGAGGCTTTATTTTTAAGAAAATCGACTTTAAAAGTTCATTGGGTACACGTGCACTTGAATAATACTCGGCTTAAAGGATCTCGTTATGGGGACTGGTTTTTTTCATATTTGTATACAATGTTACGCCTCTAGGTGGCTTAAAATAATTCAATCTATATTTTAATCTCAAAAACAATGTATTTTATTAATTTATATTTTGTAGAAAATTTCGATCTCATTTTCGGATACAAAATTTTGCTCGTAGAATCAGAAAGACATTAACAGTTTTTAGCGTGGCCTTAAACCACATTATATAAAAATATGAAAGAAAATAGTGCCTTTAGCAAGATTCCTTAAGTCGAGTAATAGTCAAATGCACGTGGACCCGATGGATTTTTAATGTCGATTTTCTTAAAGACGAAGCCTCTTAGCGGAAGATTTTATTCTGTAATTTCGATTTACTTTTCCGTGAGGGATCAGCACCTTCTCGATTGATCCATGATTTTGGCCTCGCCCTGTTTGTACGAGTCATATATGATCATTGTAAAATTTTGGCGTAATGCTTAGCTTCTATAACTTGAAAACCCCCACAGATTAAAACTATGATAACTCAAAGCATATTTTGTGTCTCGTGAGAGTCGAGTTATAGAAATTTTACTGTACATACAAGAAATATGAAGTTGCTAGAAAACGGTATTGGAAATCTTCAACAAAAATTAGATGACCGTTGACCTCTGATCTTCGTTTAATTCCCTGTTCCACGTAACCTATAGTATTGTACTCGTACAGAGGTATTACGTTTTATATAAGGTACTTGAACAGGTATCAGAGAATTGTTTCGCACCGTAAATCTGAATGACACAGAGCCTGTATGGCTTAGGGGTTAATAGGGGTTTTCGCTTCGGACTGAAATGACCGGAAGAGGCTAACCATTCCCAAGGGTAGCCTCCCTGGACGCCGGCCACCGTCGACCTTATCTAAAGCTTTAACGTGAGCGCGATCTATTATCGATAAGAGCAGTCCAGCAGAAAAGTAAATATCGGGGCGATAATAGCCTATCTTGGCTATCTTGATTATCTTGGCCATATAAGTAAATAGATGCACTCAATTCTCGTAGAAATCGTACCATTATTTCTTGAGTTCTCTTTTCTCGCCTTTAGTGCTCTTAACATTGACATAAAGATAATGAATATATGTGTGCTATCAGACAATTGTATTTTTATGGATTTTTTCCTCGTATCCTGATATTACATGCTTTATATTAGTAGAAACATCTAACGCGTATAGTCGGTTCGTGAGTTTAATATTTTTTTTTTACAGTTCACAGACAATGCAATCTTTAGGCAATCGCACGTGGCTTTTTACGAAAATACGGAAAATATGCTGAATAAAAAAAATAAAATATGTTTCAGTGCCTAAATATGCACATGCATACTTTGTAACAAAAATTATGTATAGAGCCACGCGTCATCTACTAAGAAATGCATTCTTTGAAAACTGTCAAAAACAAACACATTTAACTCATAGACAAAAAATCGTTGCATGTAATACACATATACATATGTATATCATCAATATACATCACTTATTAAAAAAAATTAAATTATATATAATTTGTATATTCCGAAAATCCGAAATTTCGAAAATCCGAATTTTTATTTTTATTTAAAAAAAAACTAAGTAAGTAACTCCAGAACGGGATGATTTTATTCAAGTACCAGTAATGGACTTTAAAATCATTGGTATCATTTACGATGCTCTATGCACTTAAGAATTAATTAGTACATGCCAATACTATAGTAACAAATTCAAATACTTTTAGGTAGCTTAAGGTACTTTTTGATAAAAAAAAAAGTTAAAGAGATATAAAATATGCTTTACTGAACCTACAACGAATCAATGTCGCATTCCTATACTATTTTCTGACTGCATTGTGATGTTCACATAAGTAATTCTTCTACTACATCTTAATAATTCTAGTCGGCTGCCTCTGGAAGATTTTGTTCCAATGGTTATATAATTTTATATTGTTATAGGTATAGTCGCGATATTAAAATTATATAAATTCTTAGAAAATGAAACAACGGAAAGAAACACACTGTTACTATGATTAAGTATGTATGTATAATAATAAGTATTATATGAAATCAGTGAAATTTTATCATATGGAAACTAACAATCATATTGACAATTACATGTTCCGTTTATTCAGGCATTACGATACGAGTAATTATTATATACACATTCGTGTACTGTAAATTTCAGTAGATATGCCTCGAGGCGTTTAGATATTCTGGACTGTCCGAACGAGTAGTCATCGCAAAGGAATTGAAAAAAAAAATTGTCGAAGGAAACGGTCTTGATACCAGGAAGCGAAAGTTCAGCCAAGATCCGGATGAATGACCGTAGATGAATCATGCGTAACAAGAAAAATTTTGATCTTGTACCAGATCATCAAAGTATACCCTGCATTGCATACCTAGGAATGTGCTATCAATTTTTTAATTAACATAAAAAATGTACGTTGTATTAATAATAAAAAATGTGTAATTCAGCACCATTAGTACAGTGTGATTCAGGAACGTTATAAAATTTGACAAACAAAAATTTAGTCTACTAACAGTTACGCGTTGTATACATAATTTCTTCTATATCTGTTATATCGTTATAATAAATTCCTAAATATATATTTACCATCGAATCAAATTAAAATTAAAAGGAAAACAAAATTACATCGACATCATTTAACTTTTGAAATTTATAGACCGCGACATCTTATTCATCATTTGTTCAATATGGTGCATGCCAAAAGAAAAGATGACAAAATACCACGTAAAACCGTATGATTCACTAGCGATCAAAACAAAACTCTCGACGCATCTTGTAGGAGCAAAAACAGCATAGAAAACATATGGAACATTGGATGGATGTAAAAGAGTATCAAAAAAAGAAATAGAGTAAGAAAATATATAACCGAACGGCATTAGACATACCACAGAAAATCTGCTCCTTAGCCCTTCGCCTCGTGTCTGATCTTCTTCGTGTTTCGATACATTGGTAATCCTCAAGTTTCCCGAGGCATTAAACTTTTAGATAAGTTTGCGGTTACATGAAAGTTCGACAGGTTAGCGAATTTTTTCACGACGTCTCGTTCGCCGGATCGATTATTCCACCTTATACGCACGTGAACTCGGCATGTTCATTTTGACATTTAAAATATATACATATATTCAAAACCAAACTCAAAAGGTTTCACAGCAATGGTACATTAATGACAAAAATATTTTTAAAAGTCTATCTGATATGACAGCCAGACATCGTACGTGCTATGAAGTTCTGTACCTTTACTTTATATTTCGCCTACAGAGAAACTACACTGATTAATATATTTTCTACAATAGCAGATACCAAAATTCGCAGTGTCAAGTAAAAAGTTCGATGTTCGAGTATCACTCTATGGCGCCGTGAAAGTTCTGTCCATCCCAGACGCATTTGGCAAACCGGAGCTTTGAAGCTTGCGAATCTTGGCACGCTAAGCTCCCTAGATATATAGTCCGCTTGAATAACGTTGTAGGCACTTGCGCCCCTCTGCCGTTTATTAAACGAATGAGTGTTATCGCGGTGAGAGTCCTCATGAATAAACCATCGAGTGTTTGGGGGCTGGGCCGTGGGGTCGCGTGGGGCTACGGGGGTGTACGGTGGTGTACGGCCTCACAGCGAGAAAGTCTAACGGACCTGGGGCGGTAAGCTCACCACGGGGCGCGGCTATATTGTTTTCTTGATGAGCGCAAAACATCCCCGGGATCTTCGGCCCTCCCTGAATAGACTACCCAGGATAGACTAAGGGTTGCGTCTTGCGTGTCACTTTTCTCCATTTGAATTCGAATTTGCTGCTATTGTCAATTAATATGGTTAAATCTTATAGGGACTCTACTCTGCAATAATACCATGTAACTTTCCGTCTTCAAATCTATATACTTGTATGTTTATTCTATAGAAATGTTTTTAAGACTGAAATATGGGAAGAGCAGACTAACCTGAGCTTCGACGCATTTAATTTTTAATATTTATTTTCCAAGCGAAGAAAGATGCATGTGCAGGGTACATTGTTTCTTTGTATAAAACCTTATGCACTTTTAGATGATATCTGTTGCGAAAGAAGATGGCTAGAAAGAGAGCATAGAGAGATACGGAGCTAAGGGCAGAGGTAGGGCGGATGGTACGAAGTCACCCCACGGTGACGATAGACAGTGGGAGGTCGGTAAGGGCTCGAACGAACAGGGGCAAAGGTCGTGCTCAGTTACGCTCCGTCCGGCGAATAGTACAGTTTCTATAATTTTGTCTCCGGCTTTATCATTTATAACATATATATTTAGATGACTCTGCTCTGAATTAGTTTGTCATGTGTGAAGAAAAAGTGAAGACTCCGAATAACCCTTATCGTCCAATTAGACGATGATCAATTAAACAAATAACTTTGACTGTAAGGATTAAAAAGTTTCTGAATGCAAGTGGGTGCAACTTAAGGAATGTCATGCAACATCAATTGCATTATCTTTCGTTTATTAAGCAAATGAAAGGACAGTTACGTATGTAAATTGAATTTGAGTTCATGCTTTGCGAAAATGCCGATTAGAAACTTATCAAAGTTAAACGGTTCACGCCACGATTGTCTTTTCTTCACAAACTTGAAGATCGGTAAGCATCTTATCGCGCGACTGCATCCTTCATTGGGCAATATGTAAACGATCGACTATAATCGGCACTCGAGATAATTATTAGATCTGGTTGGTAATGAATACCGCTTGAAAATACGATCGACGATGGACCCATATCCTGCAACCAAGGACCACGTTGCACGGCACTCTTAGGCAACGTCTTTGCGCGTAATGTGGAGGATTCAAACGCATCCCTTGCATCTTCAACAAGACGCCAGGCTACACCCTTCGACAGCCGCCATTCTTTACAACGGTACTGAATTTCGACATTCGATAAATGTACTGTGTATTATTTTTACAGATTATGTGGAATTTTTTCATTGTGACAATTTGGACAAATTATACTTACTTACCGATAATTCGCGTCCGGGGGGAATATTGAAAAATAATATATTTACCTTAATTTGTCGGGTCGTTCAAAGACTTTTCGAAATGCTATCTCTTAAGAGGATTCAGGGCTTTATTAAAAATATTGTATAATCATTCATTTAGAATTTTTACCATTCTGACAGTGACACACCTATCATCCGAATATTAAGTCGATCATCCACATCGTTTACTAAGTATTGACTGTCAAAGTTACTCTGCGATGCATGTGAAGATACGTGAGAATCCCCAGGAATGTTATTCATAGGATTCTAATGAATAACAAATTGTAACTAGCTACATGAAAAACTAACGAAAGCACTTGCACTATTACGATGAGATAGTACAAAAATTAAATAGTTTTCATCCTTAATTAATTATATTACAAAATTAATGTGAAATCAGCTTATTTTTGCCCGAACGACTGAAGACGCGGTTCCCACATTTGGAAATTATTTGTTGCAAATAGGACCCTTAAAATAATATCAACGAATTATATTTACGTTTGTATTGCCAAGAACTGTGTATCTGTGAATCTTTGCGTCAACATTTTTTACAATATCGACATTTTTTTACTTTAAAATTTAGTCTGAAAAAGTTGGCATCCTGCTGAAATACTGTGAGTTTTTCCTCATTTTCCCCTATGCTACAAAAGATCATTAAATTCTTTAATGTTATAAGTCATAACTGATACTACAATGCTTAAAGATCATATGCTATCCTAACCCTAACTCGTAATTAAAATTATAATTCCAAAAGTGTGTTTGCATGTCTGCTACCGTATCATGCCGTAGATGCTGAACCTATTCAGATGAAATTTGGCATAGAGATAGTCCATGTCCCAGATTAACTCATAGGAAACTTTTTATCCCAGAAACTTAAACATTTCCTTAGGAATAAAAATAATTTGCACACAAAAGTACTCCGCATAAAGCTAGTATGTAATAAATTGATTTTATTAAATTCCTCATGGAAAATACGAAACAGGGAATTAAGATAAAGAAAGGGATTTTAGCATTTTTTAAAAATGTAATTAATATATTATTAGAAAAGTGAAAAGTTGAATCTTCACAGTCAGAATATTTGCCGTTTTGGCATACATCTACGATGAACCGATGAAAACACGTTTTACTTCACATAATATCTGTACGTACAGAATGTTCCTCAAAAATTGAACTGAATTTATTTGTCTGCAATATTTTTAAGCAGTGATGCATTACTAACCGATTTACATAGATTGGCGATGACCAAATTACTCTTATTATTTAAACAGTATTTCTTGACTTTGAAGCAAATGTATTGTTTGCATTCAAGAGAGCACGCAAAGAATAATTTTTTAATCGTGTAGATTAGTAGTTACATTTTTATGGTAAATCACGTGATCTCATTCTTGAGTCGACTTATAACAAAAGTATACCTATCGGCCAGCACATAGTTACATTGCGCACTATGAATAATAATAATATGAATAACTAAAATCAAAATGATATAATAGAAGGATTGATATTTGAGTCTTAGAGCGATTAAAATTTTTTCTTCAACAGCGGAGCGAAAACGGTCAATTCTCGAATGGGGAAACATGGAAAATTGAAAAATTGAATAGGAGTGATGTGACATTTGCCGACGAGTCCAACGACCAGCTACCACCGGGGCAATTGTTTTTTTCACGTAAGCTGTAGGATGCACAGTTGTTTCATTGTGATTTCCTAAGAAACCAAACTAACCTGCTTATTTGCACCGACCCAAGAATCACCCACTACGTAAAAACTCGCGTTCGCTCCGCTGTTGAAGAAAATAGTATGTGAACCGCGAGAGAAAACGGGCGTTTGTGCCTTGTATAAAGTTGAGAATCCCTCGGCTTCGCCTCGGGAACCTCAACTTTATACGCGGGGCAGAAACGCCCGTTTTCGCTCTCGGTGCACAATATACTATTAATTTTATCTAAAAATTGTACGACAAAAGAAATGATAATAGTTCATAAAAAATGATCAACACGACAGGTATTGGTATTCATCTTAGGTCATCTTCTAGTACATACAACTGTTCATAATTCTCCACTAACCCAAAAGAGAAATTGACTCAATAAAACCCTTCTCGGAAACGTCATTCAATTTTTTGAGATGACGATGATACGATAAAGAATAGCGGCAAGTCACACACTCGTTTACTGATTGTACATACATACGACGATTGTATAAGCGGCCGTTTGGTAGGAATATAGAGGAGTGGTAGAGAATAATCTACGAGGAGTTATAAACTGTGCGCTTGCGTGTTCTTCACTGATTTCTCAGAGAGGCTGGGCCTTCTGCAACGGACGTGCTCGCTCATTGGCTCAACGGGAAGCAGCAGTTCAGGGGCGGTCGGAGGAGGTCAAGTACAGCTCTGGCAATTCCTACTGGAGCTACTCTCGGATTCGTCGAACGCTTCGTGCATCGCCTGGGAGGGCTCCAACGGCGAGTTCAAACTCACCGACCCGGATGAGGTAGCTCGTAGATGGGGCGAACGCAAGAGCAAGCCTAATATGAACTATGATAAACTCTCACGAGCACTCAGGTAGACATACCCATTACTAGAAAGTGTCTGTCTACATCCCAAATGATGGATATGACCAAACACATTATCATTTTTTTTTCAATTTCATCGAATTATCTTGCTGATATTTTAATTATATTAATTTACAGCATCGACGATTTAAACTAATTTCTCAATTTTTAGGTACTACTACGACAAGAACATCATGACGAAGGTGCACGGAAAGCGTTATGCTTACAAGTTTGATTTTCATGGACTCATGATAGCATGTCAGGCCCAGGCTGGTGTCACTTTGGATCCAATGGGTTCACCACGTGGAACAGGTCCATGTCATCCGCATCATTCTCATCATCTTTATGGAAGCGGAGGCTCTGGTGCTCCTGCACAAGAAGGAACGTTACCATCGGTACCACCTCCGTCAGTACCTCCACCCCCACCACCACCGCCGCCTCCACCCCCTCCACCGCATTACTGCTGGCCGTATCATAGATGCTCACCACCCACCTAACGAATATTCCGCGCCACGGGGATTTCAGCAGAAAACTTCACAACGACGAGATTTTACCTGGTACACCAGGAAATAGACCCTCGATTACCTCCGTCGGCATTTCATTATTAACAGTCTATGCTCAACCGAATCCTAGTCTAGTTAAATCCATGCCGGCGTGTCGCAACATAGAACATAGAACGATGATCGTTTGTATGAATTTAGATGTCGTCCGAGAAGAGAATATTTTCATTTTTGTATTATATAATTGACAATTACGATGGGAAATACTTGATGCTGAGGTAATTATGATTTTTAGTTTATCTTTAAATGTTTAAAAAATGATCCCGTTCTTAAAGAATATTATGAGACAGAATTATGTGCATATACAAGAACAGTTAAATATATTGAGCGGACCTGTATATGGAATAGAATTAATCGACTGCTTAATAAACAGTAACCAGATTTTACGCAATAATTTATAATATTAATCAGCAAACACGTGTTCTGACCATTACATCTCGGCTACATGAATTCTATGTTGTTATATAGCAACTACATAACAGTTACATAAATGTGAGGCACATCCCAAGAAACACATAGATAAAAGCGAACAAATGATCAACACTTATTGGTCTGTTGCACCTGTCAATGAACCAATAACGTTTGATTACTGAGCCGCGTTTTTGTGTTTGCTGGGATGTGCGTTGGGTATGTTGTTGATTGAACTGTACGTCATTACAGTTATTGTTATTCTATGCTATGGCAGTTTACCATACACTGTACGGACATTGAAAAATTAAGGTTTCAAATATTTGGCATTGTGCATATTACGATCGAAGTCCTACAAATATTGTAGATATTTACATCAAAGCGAATTACGATGAATAAATAAACATATATGATTATTGTAAAAGTCCACATAAAATCTCACTGTTATAAATAGAGAAGGGGCTCTATATTGTTCATGTTTATCCAGACCCTTTGTAGTTTGTCATCGACTATGTTTCCGTTGGAGTCGAATTCAAAGGTAAAATATGTGTGTGGTATCTGTATTCAGTGTCTCAAGATTCGTATACACGGACCACGCGGTTGCATTTTTCATGTGAAACTGAATACTACGTTCGGTGGTGAGAATTTCATCCGACCAGTAGTTTCAAAGATATTTCAGTTTCAAGTTGACGAATATTACAAGTGCGGGCATCAATGTAGCGAATGCAGCTCATGTGCAGCTGGCTATATGTATACCTAAGGTATATGTACACCTAAACTCAGAAAATTATGATAGGGAACACCTAACACCGAACACTGTGACGAGGTACTCATGGACTTTTTATGTTTGAATGCTATACTATATTATTCCCAACAAGTATGCCCGTAGGATGCGAGAGAACGCTCACGTGCTACTGCAATTGTTTTTGCTTAACCAATGACCCGAGTCATTATTACATTTATAATCTCATTCGTGTCGCTTGTTGATAACACTAGATTGGTCAACTTTAAACTTGAACATCTAGGAAAAAATCATTTGATCCGATTTGATGTAATTGAGACCTAACTAGATCTGATCAGATATCCATTTTGGAAACGTTGGATCGCCCACATGAGATTCCAGATATTGTCAAATACGACCAGATCTACATAACTTGAAAATTGTCCTGATGTTGTGTAAGATCTGATCTAATCTTATTAGATCAAACAGGATGAAATCAGATGAAATCAGATCTAATAAATTTTTCTCGAATATCTTTAACGTTAATGGTTGGATTAAATTTTCTTACCGTTCAACTTAGCGTTCAGTTTGACCTCAAGAATGCTACTGGGTCGATCGCATATGCCAATTTTACGGAACCCTGTATATTAGTTAACTATAGATATATGTACATTTAATGTATCTCAACTATCGTGAAACTCCTGTGAAACATAGCCATATTTATATTTGTACAATGAAAGATATATCGACAGTAATTCATTTTGTCGGGATATTAAAAAAAGGTGAGAATCGAATATTTTGATACAGCTATTATATATAAATTTGGCTATCGCATACTTTGGAGTCGATTTCTTTTACGAACACGCTTATTCGTGATCTTATGGCTGTTTTGGGGTCCGACCTCAAAGTTTTTCCAGCGTAATGACTGTTTTGAGGCCCATAAAGGTGACTCTCACACCGAATTTGTTTAAATTTTTTTATTGTTAATAAAACTGTTTATATTGTTAGGTTAGGTTAGGTTTCGTTAGGTTAGTTTAGCTTAGAATTCCAATGCTGTCACACCCCAAGGTTCTAGTTTTTCAGCGGACTTCTTATTCAGATGTTTTCAAACACGATTCGATATGGCGTTTTAATGTTAGCATTAATTTATTTCGTCCATTATAATGGATGCAAGGTGGTATACAGGGTGAAGCACTAACTATTGCTACCTACAATAACTCCGAAAATATGATAGTGGTAGAAAAGTTTTCGAAACAAAATTTGCATGGGACAACTGGGGCTGTTATATGACGATAGTTTCTTGTTACTAGGTGGAGTTGATTCAAAGATTTGAAGGTCAACTTTGTTTTTTTAGATAGAATGCTTCGATTCATCATTGAATCCAATGATGTGCAACATTAAGGTCTTTGAAGGTCAACGAAGGTCATTTAAGGCAAAAAGGTGAAACGAACTTAAATCTACAGACGGTGTGTTCAAAGTGATTACCATTGGTATCGATGCAATGCTGCAATCTCCTTATTACGGATTGAGTAGTATTTCTTATCACTTTGGCACTTATTGAGCCACATGCTCTAACGATTCGCTCGTTACTCGTTCAAATCGTCAACTCGTTCGCCAGACTTGACGCCTCTGGATTTTTTTTTGTGGCAATTTTTGAAAAACATTATTTATAAAGAAGTTCCAACTACGCCTGAAGATATGCGAGAGAGAATTGTTAGAGCATGTGATTCGATAAGTGCCAAAGTGATAAGAAATACTACTCAATTCGTGATAAGGAGATTGCAGCATTGCATCAATACCAATGGTAATCACTTTGAACACCGTCTGTAAATGTAAGTTCGTTTTACCTTTTTGCCTTAAATGACCGTCGTTGACCTTCAAAGACCTTAATGTTGCACATCATTGAATTCATCTCGGTAGCCGCTAACAGAAAATGAGTATCAAAACGTAGCATTATATCTAAAAAAAACAAAGTTGACCTTCAAATCTCTGAAGCGACTCCACCTAGTAACAAAAACTATCGTCATATAACAGCCCCCGTTGTCTCTTGTTTCGAAAACTTTTCTACTACTATTATACATTCGGAGTTATTCTAAGTGGCAATAGTTACAGTGCTTCACCCTTTAGTATACGCTTGAAGCACTTTTAATTTTGAAACGATTAACGCAGTTTATTTAAAATAATAAATAAAGCTTTTTATATTGGTTATTTCTACCGAGCTCCACCATTTACTTGACATTTAAACATTCATAATCCTTTATTTCATGCACAAGGTTTACATAGGAATAACCGATCACGTTTCGTGCTCTCTTATTCTTAAATCTTACACGTAATTGGTTATTTTTATGTGAATTCTGTGCGTGTAAACGTAATCATTAGCTTTACTCAGTGTACACTTTTTAGATTTTTCAAAAAAGTGCAAGTTCATATTGGATGATTTTTTAAGTTAATCAATGAAAGATTGAATCATGAAAGAAATCAATCAATTTTTGATTATATCAATCAGATTTTTTTTGTAAAATAATAGAAAATTTTCCATTGAGTCAGATAAATTTTACCATGGAACGAAGTAAAATATGAAAATAACAATATTTACCGTGTGCACTGTAAAATTTACTTGTATCCACTCAAGATATCGTGTGTTATAAGCAATAAGTAATGGAACGGTAACAATATCCCACGAATACTGCTTTCTAGAGTAAATTTAATCGTGAATTTCATAGGAAAAATGACCGAAAAATTCTCTCCGTGTATTAATTGTTTCTACCAACGTGGGCCGTATATTATTAAAGACTAGACATTTAACACTCATACTCTTTTATTACGTTCACAGGGTTTAGACAGTAATAACTGACGTTTCGTGCATTCTTATTCCTAAATCTTAAAACGTAATTCGTTATTTCTGTATGAATCTTGCGCGTGTAAATGAAGTAATTGTTCGATTTACGTACACAATTACATTATTAAACAAATGCAAGCTTTCTCAAACCATATCCATAGGATTTCATCAGGATGACTTTGTGCTGTCTGGGTTGGACCTCACGCTTTCACTTCCACACTGTTTCCCTTCTGTTTATCAAATTCGAAAAAACTGGATATATTTGGAAACTGAAAACTATCTGAAAAACATTCATCTAGTTTAAAAACCTTTCTGAGCTTTTAAACAAATATAGTACTGATTAGAAGATTTCAATACGTTCAGGAAAAAACAAAATGCAATAGGTCGAGTTATTTTTTTTTTAATTTTTTGGCTTATCACACAGAAAAAACCGATTAGGTTCTAAATGTCGAAGGACCAGGCCACAAAAAAGAACCCAACAATAGATCAACCATGAAAAGTTGAATTATTGAGAAAGATGAAAATAGGGAAATTTCGAAATGCGTTTTTCAGGATAAGAAGAAAGGATTCCAATTTCAAGGCGATCTGATCCCTATTTCTCTATTTGTCAATGGTGTGGCGATGTTTAAAAACGTGTAAAAATCTGTTACTTTCCACGTAAAACTTAGAAATATATAATTCCTGACGTCGTCAATCGCCACTATACATAGACATACGATAGAAATTCGCAAATGACATCTTGCAGACGTCATCTTGAAGATGCTTCTCCCACCTACGAACATCTTTCTGTCCGCCTTTTGCACATCCTATCTATCATTCATACGATATGTTTCTAACGTCGATCTGATAAATTGCTTCACCTGAAGGGAATATTCTTGTAAGGTAAAAAAAAAGCCCAGTCATCGGTCACCGGCCTACCGGCACACTCACTGATTGGCTTAAGCCGAGAGAAGCTGTCCTATGAGCATTTCCCAGAGGCAACATCACTTATGAAAGTTAGATGCGCTAGAAATGACGCGTTTGCTTACAGGTTACAAAACATTCAATGAATGTGTGGACTTTTTAAGAAATTTGGAAAATAAAATAAAGTAAACAATCTATTGACGATTACACGCGTGTAAGATTCCCAAAAGATATTGTAGTTAATAATTGTACAATGTATAATAATAATAAATGATAAAAAAGAAGAATGAACAATATTCTAAAGATGTCACACTGCATCGTGTTTAACACTTTAGATTTACGGAAATCGTAATTTTGACGGATTTCAAATTCCATGTTAAACCCTTAAATTCCACACTGAGGTGAATTACAAACTCGCACCGGCTAGCGTGGAATTTAAAGGGGCGTGACAGAGGTTTGCAATTCGAAAATTAAAGTTACAGAAATTATAAGGATTATTTTTTAGTAATTTCTGGTGACGCTGATAATCAACGTCCGTAAATTTAGTGTTAAGAACATCTGCATAAGATGTCTATTGGATACATATACATACATGGTAGACATAATTCGGATGTCGTTCGAATATTCTGTGTTGTGTGGCTTGCAACTGTTAAATATAAAAAAAATAACATAAGTTCTTCTCGTAACTACTGCACAGTATTGGGCGCTGATGTGGATATCAATATATTAAGATGTCCCACAACGATACAATGTATTAAATTGACTTAGTTCGATTCTAATTATACAGCAAAGTAATAAGAGCAAACAACAATTTTTTATTTCTACTTTCCGTTCAAAAAACTTCAGTTAACTACAAACTGGAGTGCGTCGGACCCTGCAGGTTTTTAGATGTGTTCTGTAATGTCAGCAAGGTACTTAAGTGAAAGCGGATTTCATCCGTCCCCACAGTAGGGTCCCCAAGTACAATATAAATTGCGACGCCATTGCATTTTCAAGGATATGGCAACTTTTATAGCGAAAAACAATGACGTGGGGTCTAATGGACCCCGATGTGCAGTTTTTAGGTTAAATTTGCACCTGTACAGAACAATTGTTTTGTCGCCTTACCTAGACCGTACCCGTGCAACCTACATCGCCAACATTATCAAAAATACAATTTTTCATTCATCGGCTTAAAAAATCATTCAATGATAGTATACACTTTTTCAAAAGTCTAAATCCGGTTCATGTAATAAAGGGCTATGAATGTTAAGTGTTCAGTCCTTGGTAAATGTTTGAGTTCGGTAGAACCAAAAAAAAAACATTTTATTTGTTGATTTAAATAGAAAGGATTAATCGGTGTAATGTTGGAAGCACATTAAACTAACACCTTGCATTTGTTATATAGGACAAAAGAAATGACGACATGAGAACAACATTCGTCGCGTCATATTTAACACATCTGAACTCTAAATAAGATGTCCGCCGGATGTCTTATGCGTAACATATTTCACGGGACATTAGTAGAACGTTGCAGACATATTTTGGATGTCGTTCATATGTTCTGTGTTTTGTGGGGGTTCACGATATTTGTATGACGTATTTCTAATATCCCAGTGTTCTCTGGGTAGTTTTAATTACTAGTGCAAGAGAGAACAAAGCTGACATATATCCCTCATTGGGGATATAGCCATAAAGGAAAGGAGGAGAGAGAACAACGAGGACCGAGTGTGTCTGAGCGAGTTTACGAACAATTCCACGTTCAACGATTGCATATACATATATTTCTACTGGAGTACAAACTTATGGTGACATTCATTATTGTGTAATCTACTGTGCTGTAACACGTTTTACCCGCGCATTATAAACGTTTAAAAATGCCTGTAGATCAAAGACGTATTAATGGCCCAGAAGTGACCATTCCATATAATATTTATTTTGATAGTAATGCAAAGCAAACTGAAACAAGAAAAACTTTACCAAAGAAAAGAACCGATGGACGTGACAGCACAGAACTCCGAAAAATATGTAAGGTTATGTTTGTAATTAAAAAAGTAAATTCAATTTAAAATACAATTATTCAGTTATAAAATATAATATTACTTGTTTCAAATAAAATTTGTTGTTTAAATTATTATATAGGCGATGAAATTTATATAATGACAAAATCTGATGCGTAGTGTTCTAACCTTAAAATGTACCAAAGTAGAAAAGTGTTCCGAATAGATTTCATGTAATAGTATACTTAAGTAAAAAACAGTAATACATTATTAATAGTAGGTTCAGGGAGTAGTAATTTATGAAATGTATCTTTGATTCCAGTTGTAAAAACAGGAATAGTAAGTCAAGCAAAAGGTTCGGCTTATATAGAAATGGGAAAAACTAAGGTTGTGTGTTCGGTGTTTGATCCCAGAGAAATTCCAAATAAAACTGGTTACAGTTTGCAAGGTGAACTTTTCTGTGAATTTAAATTTTCACCATTCTCATGTTTAAAGAGAAAAATTCATCAACAAGATTCTGAGGAAAAAGAATATAGTATAATTCTACAAAGGGCTTTGGAATCAGCAGTATGTAGAGTACGTAATTAAAACAATTGACAAATCAATATAAAAATATTAAACCTTTCTTACCAACGTAGATACATGTATGTTAAATATTAAAAGTGAGTTTTCTTTTGTTAATATATGCAGCATGAGTTTCCCAATTTTCAAGTGGATGTATATGCACTTGTCCTGGATAACGGTGGTTCCTCATTAGCAGCAGCAATTATGGCTTCAAGTTTAGCACTATCAGATGCCAGTGTACCTATGTTTGGTCTAGTTACAGCTGTAACTGCAGTAAGTTTTAAAAAATTAAATATGAAAAAAGTTTCAAATTGAATTTTAAATATTTAAGAATATCTTGAAGTAGTAAATTTAACTCTTGTTTTACAATTACAGGGGATATATCAAGATAGATTTTACTTAGATTTAACAGAAGAAGAAGAAGTTATATGTTCAAAAGCACCAGATGAGTCAACTTCATCTCGAAATTATGGCATAGTGATACAGGCTAATTTACCACAGCATGGTCAGATTTCCGAATTCTTCCATGTTGGAAGTATGGATTTAGCTAATATGAAGCCTACCGTGGAAGCCATAACAACAGCTTGTAAAGAATTGTGTCCCGTTATGCAGCAGTGTTTAGTAAAATCGGTTTTGAAGGCTCTCAAGAGAAAAGAAAATATGGAAAAAGAAGACCAATAATAAAGTATTTATTTAACCCATTTGATCCCTTTCCGTACTAAACTTATTTTGAAGATTTTCAATAAATGTACAAAGGTGAAGTATCTGACATCGAATCATCATTTTAAATAAACCGACAAGTATTGAACATGTGTAAACATGAATGTAGTATGTAAGCAATATCAATAGTTATTCAATACATTGTGGATTTTAATAAATATATTGAAATATAAATCTACAATAATTACTATATTACAAGTTTAATCTTCTGGTTTCTCTGGAGGTGGTCCACATGGTTGTAACATTTTTTCCATTAAGTTAAACCTTACTCTTGCTTTTGCTTCATTTTCAGCAATTGCAAAAAAATTTAAGAGATCATAGTGACCCATGTAAGAACTACATGAATCCCTATGCTGATTAACAAGCCATTCGAATTTTGTTGTATCTGCATGACCTGTTCCAATATATTTACTCTGAAGATGTTCCAATTGGCTGTGGATATTGTAACGTTCGCCCATTTTCTAAGCTGTAACAACATGCACACAATTCAAATTACATTAGTCGATTCATCACATTATTTAAGTGATGAGGTTAGAATATTCTAATAATACCGATTGAATTATTTCATATATATAAAGTTCTACAAGATATTATCTACATAAAATATTGTTATACATAAACATAAAAAATATATATAATCGTACTAACGTTATTTTTAGGAGTATATAAGTAAACAATTATGACAACTACAAATTGCGCCAAGAAATTCTTACTGCCATCTATTTTAAGTAACAGATGCATTCATAGAGGGCACTAGTTGATTCTGACATGCGCAATATTACACTACAAGTGAAATCTAATTTGAACTGATCTAATTACTTTTTTTAACATTTAATTCAAACATTGGAAAGTGCGATAGAAAATGAATCGCGAGGATAACTTTTTAGCATTTGTACATTTTAAATTTATTATATTTGACATTTATAATTTGAGTAAAATAATATACATATATTCACATTGAATAAATCTAATCTCCAGACATAAAATGTCGACGAAAATTGTAAATAATAGGATTTTGATATTCTTCCACAAAGTACAGTTAAGCGCACATTTTGCAAGGTTAACAATTATTTGGACACGACTTTCATAATAATTAACTCAAAACTGAAAGAATAATTCGATTCGGAAATTTCGATGTGAATTGAACAATGCAAAAAATGTCGGTTTCGGTTTAGTTATTGCGAAAATAATGTCAAAGGAATTACTAACCTATAAAATTACGTTGAACTTCATTTTGGAGAAGAATCTCTGTCAAAATTCTGTTACTTAAGTTTGTATGGGAATTTTACTCGCATAATAAAGAAAAGGTCCGAAGTCCTTTAATATATTTTGTAATTTATAGTGTATATTGTATATAACGAATTTGTTAAAAGTCAATTTCGAAACGTTGTATTAGCCAATTTATTTTTATTTCGGCTACTGAAAAATATTTTTATCTCGAATTTACGTTTGCCATAATTCTAATGAGCTTCTTTCTACATGGAATAATAATGCAAGAGGACAGACGGAGAGGTTTGATCAAATAAATATATGTACAAGTTGTTTATGGTAATGTTTATAGACAGAAGTTTAAAAGCTGATTACATTGAACTGGTTGCAAACAATGCTAGTTCTATAAAATTGAAGAATGTGTATACTTTAGAAATATGCATTATATGTACTTGATAGTATTTCAGTTTCACACACTATCAGAGTGTGCTATCTAGAAAACATCAAAAAATTTGTGTATTTACGTGTATACAAGTATATGCGTATATGTATACTGGTTATTATGTAAATCTGTTTAAGCTTACAATATTCTGGAATGACAAATGAAGCCATTCACTTGTGCTTTTGAATGGTGTTTTTCAGTTTATCATAGTTGGCACCAGTAAAGGTTTCCAGCTGGAAAAAGGAAATTTTCATTTTAATATTATTATACTATTTATATAGTAATTCTAATGTATATGTACTGTACATAAATAGTTCGTTTCGTTCATATAACATTTATAATGTTAAAGACCATGTAGGACTAATTAAGGGAAAGTATCTATATTTATGTATATAAATATCTGATCTAAATACTATTCATATAATTACAAATTATTGCTCGGTAATTATCAGATCAGATTTTTACATTATAATAGGATACATACCACCTTGCCATTTTTGACAAAAACAAACGTTGGCATACTAGATATTTCATAAGCAGCAGCAACATCCTCGCATTCATCAACGTCAACTTTGAAGATGATCACATCTTTCAACTCCTAAAAGAATAAGTAATAAGTGACAATTGTGTATATCATACTTATGTTGCTGATATAACATTGCGTTATGTTTGTTTTATTCATCTAGTGTACATTTTGCATGAGGTAAGACGATACATTTATGGATCATCCTACAATATAAAAAGTATCACCAACCTGTGACAATTCCTCTAGCTTGGGTGCAATCATTTTGCAAGGTCCACACCAAGTAGCAAAGAAGTCAATTACAACAAGGGTATCTCCTGCCTCAGCCAGTTTGGTCTTTAGATCTTCCTATAATCAAAATTAATTGCAATATGATTATCAGAATTGTTATCAAAAGAGGAAGAGAAAAATTCATTGCTTTATGCAAACAAACTGAATACTTAAATTGATATTATGATTAATAGCTATGGATATTAAATGTTAAGGAATTAGTCATTTCTAATTGTAGCATTTTTTATAAACAATGATAGGGTAAGGGATGATCAGAAAATAATTTAATCTATTTATTAGTTTATGACTATTGCATAATGGCTGATTAATAAGAATTTAATTACTCTCTGCAGTGACTTGATAATTAATTTGAAATGTTAAGAGTTAAACAAAATCAATTATACCTTGTAATGTTCACTGTTTTCTAAAGTAACATGGTGTCATTTTTAAGTATTGCTATAATATTCTCTTCAATAATTATAATCCTTATAATATTTTAGTAAAGTATGTGAAGCTATAGAATGTTTGATAATTTAACAAATATGGGCTACGTTTCCACCGGACTCGAAAGAAAGTCAATTCAACCATGGATGTTATTTCTATAGTCCATATTTATCTGTTTATCTACAACACGTATTTTATTTCTCCGCTCGACTCCGGTGATTCGGTGGAAAAGTAATCATAGTGGCTGCAGGAATATGATAAGATATCACATATTTGATACACATTGTTGCCATATTTTGTGACAGTGCATGCATTACATACTATATAATTGTCATATGACAATAATAACGCGTAAATGATATTAATAAAATTTCATATCCGTAAAATAGTAAGCTACCTTATCAGTTACCTACAATAAACCTAAAATATATATAGAGCATGAAGAAAACTTACCAGAATAATAAAAAGTTAAGATAATATCGTAAAATCTATAGATACAGATATAAATCTTAACCCTTTACTTATATCTTTTGATCAAAGCCTGATTAAATGCTCGATCGATGCTTTTTGTTTGATCGCGTGAACATAGATATACGTTAGGATTAGTAGGGCAATCGATACATGAGTTTCCTAATAAAACTCAGATTACATATATGATTATCCTTGAAATTCTTCCTTGTCCGGTTTTTCACGTTTATAATATATTTCCATTCTAATCATTGTCATACTCCTTGTAAATGCACGACTCCACAAATACAACTTTTCAATGGAATGCCAATAAAAATCTCTTTAAGGGTATGCATAAGTGATCAGTTAACCTACCGAGCGTAAAGCAGGCGTCAAATTGGATGAGTCTTCCATTTTACTCGACAATTTCACACGCTTTTACCACACGAACCACAAGAGCAAACGTGATATAATAATTTTTGCTTATTAATGACGATTACTAATATATCGGAACGCTCAGAGGTTTCTAGATTCCATAACTAAGATCGTACAAGAGAAAAATAATCAATAATAAAAATCAATTTTGGAACATCGAAACAACATCGAGCGGTTATTACAAATGTCATTTTTTTATGTATCACTGTGAACATTTCACAGAATTAGTTTATAGACACGTTTCTACCGGTGTACCACGCCGCAAGGCTCCACACCTTGCCTTTCCATTGCTTGCCAAGGTTACTACTCCATTATCGTCTCGTAATTAGAGACTTTCACGTATATTTCGATTGATTTTATCTTTATTATTACGCAGTATGCAACTATTAGCATTCACTGAATATGTTAACTTACCTCGCTTGTAATTTGTACAACCATTTTTATAATAAATCTGTGATTCTCTAGATCAAGAGATTACGAAACGAACTTCTCACTTCCGCGGTTGCAAAGCGACTGAAAGCGACTGAACTGGTATACACCAGAGTATGGCAAGACGAGGCGCGTCGATCACTGCAAGTAATATACTAAAAATTCTACGGAGATTCACGAGGACAGCCGAGCGTGCCCATGCCGGTTCTTGGAATATTTCTCATCTTGGCATTTAGATATATTAGGAGAGCTGCCAGTATACTCTTTCGTCGATACATGACCCTAAGAAACAGTTTGAAGATCTAAACCGGTATTCTACATAAAAAATAATTTGAATCATATTTTGTTTCGGTTATAGCGTTTTTGAATTTATGTGAAAGAATTAAAAAATCTCTGTCATTATCTCTGTCTCCGATATTCTAAAATAAATTATAGAGATAAACACAGTGAGATATTTGTATATTTTGTATAATTGTGTATTGATAAAAAATTGTTTTTTACATTATAGTATACCAAAATAACGCAACGAATTTGGATAACTCACTCATGTTGCTGCGTCACTTACAGCTCATATCTATCATGCGCTCAAATACGATGACATCATCACTGTCCGATTTATAGTTTGCATCATGATAGTAATGTAGAATGACAATGCGTATTTCGTTAGATCATGCAGTTTCCGTACCCGGAAAAGTTTCGTTTTCATTCATTTATAAAAGGATTTTCCATTATTAATCATAAATAAAATAGTCCATATGTCCAAGGACAAGTACGTAGTCATACAAAATCATGATGGTTCAAGTAAATTATAATATAATTCTAGATTAATAGCGCTATTTCCCCTTGGAAATTTTAAACCGATTATCACATTATAAAGTTATCATTATGATAACAGAGTGATATTGTGCGTGTTAATCAACCATAATTAAAGGCTAGGTCGAATGATTAATCCAATGCAGGAACCGTATTTGCGTGACATTGATGTTACCAGAAATTGTGAAAGAGCGATAGCAATGAGGTAACTACAAAAAGTAGTATGAGACAAGTTCTTCTATGACTAATAGAATTCTAGGTATGTATGTATATACATCGGATTCTTTCCTATTTATAGAAATCAAGAATCGATCTTATACAAATATGAAAGTATGGCGGTGTAACTGCAATGTACATATGTAGCATTTTTTTTTACTATCATAGTAATTCACGGCAGTGTAATTCCTATTCAATTCACATTTCATTTTGTACTCTTTAAAATGAGTTATCACTGTCATACTATATATACACCACTCCTACATCTAATTACGTCAGAAATGTGAATGTCCAATCGTGCGGTGTCTATTGATCGATCGTTAAACCTACTTTTATACCATTGGTTGATCCATCTGATTGAATATGGCGCGAGAATTTAATATTCATTTGTTTCAATGTACTTGGAAATCATTGAAAACGTCTTGATAGCAAATTAAAATTTTTCTAGCATATATCGGTTTAGATTTTTAAGCACTGTATGTTTGCCTTGGGCATAAAAGAAGCGTGCGTCCACATATGAAATAAAAATTAATTGTCTACAAATACGTCTGATAATTCTTGTACGTAATAAAAAAAAAATTATTCAAATCAAGGTAGGTTAAAGTAGAGTCGAGATCGATATTAATTGATAAGGAAGGATCGATGGAAATTTATATTTGATTTCTTGACCGTTATGAGATAGTTTAAAGCGATACAGACAACCTCGTAGGTAATGTTGTAGGCAATGCTGTGGCAAAGTATCGATCGTGAACGCGTTGTAAGCACTGACGGCGACGCAAACCCGTGAACGGTGCGAAAAGCTCCCAAGAACAAAAACCGGTGTACAAGTGGGCGGCGGTTTTGGTTGGGATATTTTCTCTCTTGTGATAGCATTCAGAATAAATTGTTTAAGATGACTGATCAGGAAGAGTTGGATTACTACATCATGTTTCCGTCCTGCATTGCAACGCAAAAGGACGTAACCGCTTCCACCGGTAAAGAACAACGCGAGGAATTCGTTTTCATCTATGAGGAGGAGAAACGGCCTGTGGTCGTACTTCTTGGATGGGCAGGATGTCAGGACAAATACCTGGCAAAATACAGTGCGATTTATGAAGATAAAAGGTAAAGATACATACGACGTCATGCTTTTAATAAAGAAAGTCCTTTCATAGCGTAGATGTGTTACACTCATCTTCGGAATTAATGTGTGACGTTTTTCAATGCACGATGTATCTATCGACATATTCTTATATTTCTTGATGTTACTTGTTAAGATTTACTAAAGTTATTTCAAGTGTTTTTTAAGTTGTTTATCGCTAACAGTTGCATAACACTGCGATACACTGCACCAGTCGAATGCCTCTTTTGGCACAGGGATAGAATGAAACGAATTGGTCGAAGATTGGTTGAAGTCATCTCGGAAAAGAATCTTGACAAGCATCCGATATTCTTTCATGTCTTCAGCAACGGCGGCGCTTATCTTTATCAGCATGTCAGTCTTGCAATGCAGCAGACTAATTCCAAGCTTAAGGTACGGTAGATTAAATAATTCAAATGGCATATGTCAATGTGGAGATGTAATTTCTGTATCTTGTTGTATATTTAATATTCTGTCATATGTCGATCAGGTCAAGGGCGTCATCTTTGATAGTGCACCAGGTGAAAGAAGATTGACATCATTGTTCAAAGCGATTAGTGCTATCTTAGGCGGACATCCGTTGACGAATCTCCCTATGTCTTTCTTTATCACTGTCTTCCTCTCTATGCTGTGGCTCTTTGAAGTATGCGATTGACAACAGTTCTCGTATAGCTGGTGTCAATATACCATTTCAGAATACTAAAGGCTTCAATAATCGTTATAGGTAATTGCTCATCCTTGGAGAAAAGGGTGTCCCGTACAAACGAATCCTATCTCCCTTGCCGAGGAAGCCTATTCCTGGCCTCAATTGTTTCTGTATTCGAACAGCGATACACTCATCCCAGCAGCGGTAAGTTTATGTGAAACAAATTACGTAATAACGTCCTATAGAATCAATAAATCATATATTAGTACTGTATATTTAACTTCGGACCACACGTGTTTTGTACGTACAGGACATAAAGGACAGTAATTATTTTTGTGCTCGTCGAATGTAAGTGAATTGAGCCAATTGAACAAGGAATGTCTTTTGTTTAAATAAAATTGCCAACCGAGCACATCTTTTGCCTGAGAGAGAATACAACTTTTTCTTTGTACAGGATGTTGAAAAATTCGCCAGCCGTCGCGCGGAACGAGGAGTTTGCGTGCAACTTGTATTATTCACGAATTCGCCTCACGTGAAGCATTATGCTACTTACCGCGATGTTTACGTCAATACAGTGTGCACCTTTATACATGAATGTTTGACAATGCAGAGTCCATCAACTTCCTTAGGAGAATTGAAGCAGCGCGACATTGAACACAATGAGGATGAGACATACGAATCACTTCCACGCCTTACAAAGCGTGTTGTGCTTCCACACGAGGCCAAGCAATAGTGCAATGTAGAATACGGAGCCTAAACAATTTTGCTGCATATATGTATAACCGACAAGCAAGTGACACACAAAGGAGCACTTGCACTTTCTCAGAGCGTATCTGCTACGATAGAAATTAACATACAAATTATTTAGAACGAGAGAAAAAGAAAGAGATAGACGAAGAAGTATACGGAAGGGAAGAATTTATAAACTCAAAATTTCAATAACATCTCTTATCAATCAAATTTGAAATTCTACGTACGTTAACCTTCCCGGTATTAGAGAGTCAATAAACATTCGAAAATTTCGTTCAACTCATATATGTATACTGTATGAAGGTGCTTCGATAAGATTTAGTTATAACTAAATAATAATAATTTCGCGTACAGTAACGGCTAGGCGTTGTACAGGTTTATTAACTTTGTTGTGCTACGTTTAAAAGAGAGCAAAAGTATGTAGCGTTTATATATGTGTTAATTTTGTACAGTATTGAATTTCCAATAATTGACGAAATTTTTTGTTTGTTGAAATACCACATTAAACATCGTTGCCTATTTAAATATGGATGTCACGTTAGTGAAGAATTGGAATGCTTATCGTTAAATCGCACTGTTAGTATGAGATCTTGTACTCTTTAATGGCCATTTTATGTAGATTAAAATGCAGTAAACGATTAAAACAATAAGCGTGTTAACGTTGACCGATGATACCAGTGCTATTGGATATAAAAATTAGGAATATCGAGCTGGTCTTGATGTTGCTTTGTCTGCGTATTAATGTTGCGGTAGTAATTTAAATTTTATGTTTTAAATTATCGAAGAACTGTTAATCTCTAAATACGATTATATTTTGATCTGTTAATCAGTTAAAAATAAAGACTGATAAATAACTTTAACCTGTCTTATATTGAGTACCATTATCATTTACATATATCCTTTAATACGTATGTGCTGTTAGATCGTGATTTCAATTCTTATAGTGTAAGAGGTTTCAAAAGAGAACAATTTTATTTTTATCTCTAATTAGCAAAGATTTTTCTTATTGGAAAATTTACAGTAAAATTTAATTCAAAATTCAGCTCATGTACCTCAGATATCAGAAGCTTTTAACTTTTGACATTGTTAGATACCCCGGAACAAACTCCAAAATATAATTGAATTTAACCTTAATGAATAAATGAAAATGTCATATTTCAATATGTAACCTGTTACGGAACAAATAAAACAGATGGATAGATACAATTCTTAGAATGGAATGAATTCGTCGGTTTAGACATTCATTTGAAGAACATTGAACACATTGAATTAAATAATAAGAGAATGTCCGAGACTATTATTAATAAAAGAAGTATTGAAATCGACCAAAACAGTCTTTTGGACAATTCTAATAAAGATTTGATACGTTGGTACAACGATTGCGACCATTTTGAAAAGGTGCAATGTAATACGACGAAAGAGAGTTCTGTAAGATATAAAACTTCAAAAAAGTATATCATTGAACAAAATTTAATTTTTATTTTGACGAGATTACACTTTCAGCAAAATCGAAAAACCGATGACAGATCTGTGGTTGGATTATCAGCTTTCATTGCAAGTCCTAAAAGACAGATTTGCAAAAGTGAATCTAACATTTCAAACCGACAGTTCGATTCTGGACCTAGGAAACAGATTAATGCAACGTAAGGCAATTCATGTAAAACCAATATCAGTTAATTCAAACAGCTTCTTTTCTCAGTAATATTCTACAATTAAGAGATTCCAGTTCTACACTTTGTTCAAACAAACTAAACGAAGTAGCGAAACTTGAATTCCAAGATTCGACAGACTCTGATAACTTCATCAAGAATTACATTAGAACTTACATTTATAGCAGGTAATTGTAGCTGTTTTGTTTTTTGTGCGCTACGCAATTCTGCACGAATAATATGAATAAAAATTGGGAAAATGAAAAAGTGATGTAATTTTTCAATGTCAGGACGCGGCTCGCAAGGGTCGATGAAAGAAAACTTATGGCGAGTGTTCTAGCAATACACGGAAATAAAAATGATAACGAAATAGTATCAGAAGTGAATTCCATTATTACTTCAAAAAGAACTTCAAACCAGAAGAATATAGGAAAGGTATGTCTAAATGATCAAGTATAGATTTATCAGAAATAATATTATGATTCTAACTTGTAACTATAAGTATGGCCATTAATCAATTGGCATGTTAGATTTTAAATAATAGTGGCGACAAAATATATTTACCATATTGCTTTATTTTATGCCAGATGCGTAAACTAATGACAAAGTATAAAACATCAAGTAAAAAGCCACAAACTATAGAACGAGTTACTGCAACGAGGAATTTTGTTTACGAGATTGAACCAATAGGCACAGAAATAAAATCGAAGGAGAAAACAAGTCATAAAATTGGTAATCAGTCTCGCATAAAACGACAACAGCGTAATGATGATAAAGAATTAAAGTGCCTCAGGTATGAGATTTATTTATGTTAATCTATAGAAAAAGTGATGCAGATATTGATACATTTTCAAAACTGCCAATCCTTTTATAGGTCTTCACCTAAAAATGATCTGATCCAAAGTGCTGAATATTGCAGTCGTGATTTACAGAGAGCAAGTGCATCTTTACCCAAGCTATTACCTAAAAATTTATCGAATGTAGAAAAACTGCAAACTAACATTGATGCGCTCAAGCAAATGATTACGTTACCTACAATTGAATCATTAGATTATAAAATGAAGTACCAAGGAAAAAATTGTATGCATCTGTATACTAGAAACGGTAATTTTTTTTACAATTCTTACTTTCAATATGTTACAACTCTATGGATATTTATTCAAATTTTATTCCAATTTATCTGTAGTAAAGAATGATTCAGTAGCACATCCTGCGATTGAGGGTATAAAAAACGTCAAATTAACACGCAAATTAATTAGTGCTGAAGTATCTAATAAAAAAGATGCAGCTAATGAAACGATCTCATATCCAACACGTGGTAATGTGTCATGTCAGATGACAAATTATAGATCTGCACAAAATCGGAATGATTTGTTAGGTAACGCAAATTTGAATAGTATAGAAATGCAAATTCCAAAGAATTTATTATTAAAAATATTGAAGTCGGAATATCTGAGAAAGGATTTGCCAATGAAAAAAAATTGTAACAAGTATTTTGTTGATTCATATTCTATGGATTAGAGTGTTAGAAAATTATACAAACTCTCTAGCACACTTGATATGCACCTTTCTTCGCTAAATGAAAAATGTTGAGAAAATATGCAAACAACCGCGAAATAAATACAATTTATAATTTTGTAACTTTACATATTCAACTTATATAAGAACGTAACAATAACTACTATACTATATAGTATGTTTATTGTAATTATTTACAATCACATTATTTCTCGCAGCACGAGTCTTTCAGGCTGTTTTAAGAAATCTGAGATGTAACGTATGAAAATTAAAATTGTTATGTACAATGTTTTATACACAATATACACATCGTCCAATAAATTCAAATTAAATGTCAGGTTTGTATTTTGGAAGAATTAGAGCTATGAAAAGACATTTTTTTTATATAGACCCAACCATGGAATAGAAAAACTTTTGAATTTATCACACTTCATTGCTGAGGATGAGACTAACGTAAATAATTTCTTGGTAATTGAAGTTCAACATTGCATTATCCAATTATAAAAATGCTTTGTAATGATTTTTAGTATCGTTAATAAACAATAGTATTGTTTGTTCAAGTCATCATTGCTTACAAATTGAAAAAATATTCAAAAATATTAAATACATGGACGAAGATAAAGTCTTTTTGTTGGTATATCGTATGAAATAGATAATTTGTATAATCTTCGTAATATAAACCTCTGAAACATACTCTCAGAATACTTATCACAATATGGGCACAGCTGAACTATGAGTTTGATAAATAATAGCGCCGGTGAAATTAATTGCTGCTGCCAACACAAAAACTGGCATCCACCGACCATGCGATGCTGTGACTAATTCAGCAGTAAGTGGACCGCATAAGATACCAGGGATGGTAGCCTAAAATGTATTTATTTAATCGTATTGTATTAGAAAAGTTATTAACTGCAGTTTAAGCTACTCACTATCGTATTAGATATAGCAAATGTTATTCCTGCATGATTAGGCGCTACATCAGCATGATTACTCAGGTGACCGGCCGAATTACATGCGCAAAGACCCATTGATATCGAAACAAATCTGTGGAGACATTATACAGTAGTGCCAACAAAAATGCATGATACGATATTTATGACGAATACCGTGACGATACTTACACTACTGCAGAAAGTAAATTATCAACAGCACAGAAGGCCAATAAGAATACTCCAGGTCCAATGAGACCGATATTCGTCATTAATCTTCTTACAGATAAAACTGACCATCTTTTTTGTATTAAATTGTCTGCGCTATGACCGGCAGCTATTGTATATGAAAATAAGGTAATACGCATTTGAATCGTCAAAGTTAATGTAATATTTATGCTGACATATAGAATGCATTCCTCATTTGTTTTTCAAAGCAATCGTATACATAATATTACTTCAAGTGGTAAGGTGCTGAAGCAATGATTATAAAGATATTAAGGTGTCACTATTGTACGGTTATACTTACTGATACCAACGAGAGAATTAACGATGTACGGTACTGCCGTTAAACTAATGCTCTCCTTATTAGCAGATAAGTTTCTGGCTAAATAAGTAGGCAACCACTGCATAATGATATAATTGCTCCAATTCATAGCGAAATGTGCAATGTAAAGGGCCCAGAGTGGCCAATAGGTCACAAATTCCGTCCAAACTAGGCTTCGATTTTGCACCACCTACAGATAAAATCGGATATATTTCGTAAAATATTGTTCTTGATTGTTAGATAAAAATTGAAGATGAATATTATCTATATAAAAATTAGAACAGTATCAAATGAGATATTACCTTTGGCAAGAATAAAGGAATTTCATCTTGTGAATTTGATTCTTGATACATAATCAACCACAGCAAAGTCCACACAATGCCCAGTGTTCCAAATAGGTAAAATCCAGTTTGCCATGATAAATGTGGGCATAACTATCAAAGAGTTGTATACTATGAATATAAATATCTAGGGAAAACGAATTCGTTTACATAGGTAGATAAATATGTTGTTATACTGACAACAGATGCTACAACTTGTCCCACTGATCCAGCAGCAACAAGGTATCCAAAAGCCCGTGACCTCTCCTCTACAGGAACATTATGAGCAAATAAGTGAAATATTACAGGAAGACCTGAAAGTAAAGTTGCATGACATTTAACTGATTTTAACGTAAGACTTATTGAACAAAGATGTTAAGAAAGTTACCTAAACCTTCGCCAAGTCCAAGAATTACTCTACAGATTATAAGTAAAGGGATAGATTGTGCCAAAAGTGGTGTGATTACTGTATTAATTGACCACAGTAACACAGCTGACATTAATACCGTTTTACAGCCAAATCTATTTGCTGTACTAGCACCAATAATCTGAAAGTATTTTAGAAAAATAAAACATAAGAAAAATATAAAGAACTGTTGTAGTTTGACAAAAATCAAATGACTTCTGATGCTTAATACAGTATTTAAATCAACGATTCAATACCTGACTTGTAAAGTATCCAAAGGCAAATGCAGACAGGATCCAGCCTTGCCAATGAAGATTCCATTTGAATTCATCGGTCATTGGAACAATAGCAATTGGCATTATGACCCTATCTGCTGCATTTATAAAATTAGCAACTGAACACAAGGCCACAATCCGTGTGGTTTTCGGAAGCATGGTTAGCTTCGGCATTTTGATAGTTCTCTTATGTCAATCAAAAGTCACATTGTACAATATACTCTAAGAGAGCTCATCTTCAGCTAGAAATACAATGCAAATAAACCGTACTATTTTGTTTTCGTATGTCAATCTTCAAAAGTAGTAGATTGCTTTACATTTACAGTACCAAATAAACTTTACGATGTACCAGGTTAAATTATAAATTGAAGTAAAGTTGTAAACATCATCCACGCACTCACTCCTTCCTTTCCTTATGCCTGCATCCTCAATAGGGGACATATGACAGTAACTGGCTCTATACATATAATCAGGATTGGAAAAATTCACAGTAGATGGCGATGTACATTGCGGGACCACTGAACACTAACCATACTGGAATCTGTACGGCAGTGGTGGAGGCTACGCAGAGAGAGATATCAAGGACACAGGTCAGTGTAGCAGGCTGTCTCTATTACACACTGTACAGTCTCTGAAAAAGTTTAAGCTGGGTTAAAGCAGTGCGCACGGGGAGGACTAAGCCAAAATAACATAACCTGAAATAGTGGCACATATATTTTATTTCGAAGACTGCTGAATATTTTTTTATCGTTTGTATAAGGCTCTATATTTATATCATGGAGCCTAGATAGGATTTATATGTACTTGCAGAGATGAGTAGGGAGATAATCGAGTTTAAACTTTGGTTAATTATTTTAAAACTATATTTAACAAACTGAACCAGCCTTAAACCTTCCTTCCCTCCTTTCCTTATGGCTGACTCCTCCAATGAGGAGATGTGCCAGTAACCAGCCTTAAACCACGTCGGAGGACACGGGCATGAGTAGAATATTATTTTAATGGGCTATCGCTAGTTTTCTTCAAAGAGGTTCAATGCATGAACTCCGTTTATCTTCAAAATGTAAGTATCTGATTGGCTAATAGGCAGGTAAACCAGAGATGAGTAGGGAGATTGCCAATGGGCCGATATTCTTCAAACTAATTTTATTTTTCAATAAACGGTCAACGGTATGTATCAGAGTACTCTAAGCAAACTCCAAACGTGTATAACAACTGAAATACAGGTTTCCCAATCTGTACGTCACGGTAGCTAAATATCAAACGTGCATGGTAACGAGTCAACGTGCGAGAGTCTCGGGTTCGAGACCCGATTATTATTACTTTATTTTATTCATGAACAATGCTCATTGAATCTATTAATTAACTTGTAATGTAGCAAATGCATGATTATATTATACTATATAAATTTTATTATATTATACAGTCGTGTCTATTTTTATGCCGTTGATACGTTTCACAGAATTTTTATATAAAAAATATAAGTAAAGTAGAAGAAGGAACCCGGAATTTTCATAAACCTTCAAAACTGAATTAAAAAAACCACCTGCAAATGGACTTTACCCATTGAAATTCTATATGTAGATATACATATATTCCGCATATAAAGATCGCGAGGCACAGAATACATGGGTATGTCCAGTCTATTGACATATAGTGTGGACTACGCGATCCCTACCTTAGATCCTTTGAAAAAGTGTCCGCTCAAATAAACAAAGAGGATATGAGGTGGCGGCCAATCGTTCTCCTTTTCTAATGTTCCCATTGCCTATGTTTTCTATACTCTCGTACTACGGCTGCTGGTCAGAAGAAGATAGGGCTTGGGCGCCGCCAGTCGCTATCTTTTTCTTTCAGCCGACCATTTTTCGTATGTCTATGCGTAGTCCATACTATATGTCGATGGACCAGTCTATTTGTACTCATAAGGGGAGGAAACGGTATAGAAAATGAAGTTCCGAATGAGACTTCGTAGTGATGAAACCTCATATCATGCCATA